GCTGTTTTGAGGCTCTCTGCAGAGAGACTGATGTCAACCCATGGGGAACCGCGTATAAGGTGGTCCTCAAGAGACTTAAAGGGCACGGCCGGCCACATGTCACGTGCCCTGTCATGCTGAGTAGAATTGTGACAACACTTTTCCCACATAAGCTACCGTACCTAGCGGTGGACTTCTTCGGAAGGGAGCAGGAGCCACCCCCGGTTGTTACCACGGAGGACGTGCTTGCGGCCGGCAAAAGAATTGGCGACAAAAAGGCCCCAGGTCCGGATGGAATCCCTAATAAAGCCCTGAAGGCAGCGATTAGGGTAAGGCCTGAGATATATGCCCAGCTTATGCAACAGTGCCTCAGAGAAAGAGTCTTCCCAGAGAAATGGAAGGCGCAGAGACTGGTGCTGATCCCGAAAGGTAACAAGCCGCCGTCTGACCCGTCGTCGTACAGGCCTATCTGTCTCCTGGATACGATGGGCAAGCTGCTAGAGTCAGTAGTGTACGAGCGTCTGCTGAGAGTAGCCAAAGAAAACGGTGCCCTATCTAACAACCAGCACGGCTTCAGAAGAGCGCGGTCGACAATAGACGCCATAAATCACGTAGTGAGGCTGGCGTCCGACGCCATAGCCGTGGATAGGTGGAAAAGGGGCGCCAAGAAATACTGTACCCTGATTATACTGGGCGTTAAAAACGCTTTTAATTCGGCGGACTGGGGAGCTGTCGGCAGGACCCTTATAAGAACGCGGGTCCCAAGGTATCTATTGGAAACCATAACGAGTTACTTGTCGAACCGTACGTTGGTGTATGAAAGCGACAACGGCACAGAACAGTATAAAATATCAGCAGGCGTCCCACAAGGGTCAGTTCTTGGCCTCGAGGTGGGAAAGAACGACCAAAGGAAGATGGACGTTCGTTCTTATCCCTAACATAAGACGTTGGGTTGACAGACGGCATCGAGAAGTAAACTATTACTTAACCCAGCTTCTGACTGGCCATGGCTGTTTCCAGAAATATCTACACAGATTCGGGCACGATAGTTCGCCTAACTTCCCGGTATGCGAGGATATGGAGGAGGACGCAGAACACGTAATGTTCTACTGCAGCAGGTTCGAGAATGGGCGGCCTCAAGTGCCACCCAACGAGATAACAAGCGCAATGGTTGGCAGTGCAGCAGCCTGGAACGCCGTAGACGCATTCGCTAGCAATACTCTCGTGGAGTTGCGGCGATTGGAGAGACAACGGGTGGAGAGCAGAGGGAGTGGAAGCCGATAGTGCATTCCACTGAGGTCCCACCATCAAGAGCGTGCTAGAGACAACCAGCCCCCGCGAAGTAATACCTAACGGTGGTCCCGCGGGGGAGAGTGGTAGACGAAGTGTGTGTGGGGGGTAGTTTTTAGTACGTATGCGCCAGGGATGGCGAATCGTGCATGCTGCTACTAAGACCCAGCAGTATCTTTCGAAGATTTTCTACCTCCAGCTCACAGACCAAAACAAAAAAACACACACACACACACACACACACACACACAACACCATCCCTCACGTCTACTACATGTTCCACATGACACTCCACTTACCCTCACAACACGGATTCCAACGCCAACGATCACTTTTCATCATGTGCCTCCCTCTCCAATTACACTCCCTCATATCACGTTAACAAACGATTATCTCCCATAAATCTTACCTCCATTACACACATCCTCCTCAACAAATGAAAAACCATTCCTCCACGGACATCAATTACTTATGATTCTCTTTACAAAAGTACATGAAAAAAAAGCACGATCGTGGATGCACATGTCTACACAGATTCACACAAACACTTCTCTTCATTACACGCATCTTAATGACCAAACCAAAAACGATTTCTTCAAGAACACACATTACTTACGATTCCGATAATAAAAAAACATATTTTGATATGAAACACGATCGTGCATGCTTGTCTCTACACAAATGTCCACGAACACATCTCTTCATTATACACATCTTAATGACCAAACCAAAAAGGACTCTTTCAAGGACATACATTATTTACGATACACAAATTTCCACGAAGAAAAAAATTAAGTGCACTCTGGGTGATGCGACTATTTCACCATATCGCATTTCAGAACACTTACACGTCTCATGATCCTTCCTCATTTCTGTTTTTTATTATCACTATTTCCATTCGTATAAATACCCCGCTGAGAATGGAAAAAGAACTAGTATTATGGTGCATTATAAATGATAAAAAGAAAAAGGTCAAACGGTATTTATGACCACACTTAAAAGTATTTATAGGGAAAAAGAAAAGACAGATGCAATTTTTCAGATAACGCTTGAAGGTAAGTTCACCAACATTTCTATCCTATATAAGCAGAGTTTTCCTTTTAGTTATTTTCAAAAATACTAAAACCACCAAATCGGTTAGTGAGTTAATTACTTTAAATAAAAATAGAAAAAATTAAAATGGATCCAAAGAACAACAAACAGCATACCAACATTATTATCATCAATATTATCAACGGAATACGAGAATCAATCTACTGCGGACTGAAAATTACAATTCTCAGATGACATTGGACTCTGTAATCTTTTTTCAAAAATACTAAAACCAGCAAACCATTAAAAAGAACAAATAGAAAAAATTAACATTGAACCTAACACACATAAGTGCACTTTTTGCCATGAGACAGTTGGCAATTTACTGGACCATTATTGCTCAGAATTTGCAAGAGCTTGTCAGCTAGGTTTGCTGCAAGCTGATTCCTTGAACAAAGGAAAAATTGGCGACCGGCAAACTAGGTGTAATTTCTGTTGTTCCATACCCATTTATGCAAAGAGTTCGTAGCAGGCTGTGAAACAGCATTTAAAGAAAACCTCCTACTTCCAGTATGAATGACGGACCGTCCACAAACAACGGCGGTAAACGTAAAGGAGTGTTTGAAGCTAGCACCAAGAAGAAAGTTCCTTCCAGGGAGGTGTATTGCGAGCCCTGCCAAGTTTTTATGATGCAGACAAAGTACAAAAACCATTTGAGGACCAACAAGCACAAAGAGAAAGCAGCTGTGCTTTTGTGCTGTGTGTTCATCACATCTCCGCCGACATCGGGAAATGTGATTCAATATAAAATCGTCAGCAACTCAAACGGATGAGATTGTAATAAACAAATTTTTGGATGATATCCGAACATTTATACACGAGCAAATTCAAACCAAATTAGATGAATTTGGCTCTGTAAAGTTCAATTTGAGGCTTTTTGGAGATTACGTGAAGGGCTTCGAAACAGAAATGGTGATAACACTGAAACACTTCTCAACGAAATTCGTTGCTGCAAGAGAAAACAGTGAAGTTGACGATAAGATTGACGAGCTTTTTATTGAGCTTAAAAGAGCAACTACAGAATACCAGGAACGAGAAAGCGGTTGGGCTATAGCAGAATTTAAATTCTGTGAATTAACCATTTGCAAGTTGGAGTCCTTTCATATGTACCATTGCCAATTAGTATATTCACTAAAAAGGCTACAATTAATGTGAAAAATGCTGATGTCTATTGTTTTAAATGGGAAGGGAATAAGATAAAATATTTAATGAATTTTGTAGATTCTAATCGATTCTTAAACTCTAGTTTAGAGAAATTGGCCAAATATTTTCAGTCCACTCAGTTTAAAATGTTAAAGAAAGCATTTAAGAATCCGGAAAAATTTGCGTAAGTCGTAAGGGTGTCTTTCCGTACGATTATGTAAGCGACATTAAGAAGTTTGATGATCCAAAGAGTGCTTCTATAATTATATGTCCGATCGAGAATGTAGTGAGGCTGACTAAAATTTCGCGCGGATGGTGTGGGACGCTTTCAAATGTCAGACCCTTAAAGATTATAAGGTTTGTAACGGCCGCGAACAAACCTCGGGTAGGGTGTCTGTCGGTCTGTATCAACCGCAAGCAGCGGAATAGCGGCATGCCGTTAGACAAAATCATGCGATTTTGTGGTACCGCTAATAAATCGCATGATCTTGCGGTATATGTTTATTTTATTCTTTTCTGTTTTCCTTGCTTACAAGTACAGGCAAAAATCGTATGATTTTGCGGTATCTTTGCTTGCTTTTGCAAGTACAGGCAGAATCGTATGATTTTGCGGTACTCCATTTTTTTCCTTTTGCTCTTGCAAGCATAGGCAAAATCGTATGATTTTGCGGGATCTATGCTTGCTCTTGTGTGAGAGTAGCGGCAAGCCGCTATAGAGAGAGCAACAGGAGGAAGAAGAGGGAAATTAAGTAAGCACGAGAGGTCTGTCTGCGTTTTAATTTCAAGTTGGAAGGTAGAACTATTTGGCATCTGGTGAAGTTCAGACGCATTTTCGAGCTTTTCATAAAACGGACAAATAAAAATAATTTTGTTTGAAAGTATCCTTCAAGTGTGATCAAAAGGACAAACATCAGCTAATGGGAAATAAAGTAGCAAAAAAAACACAAGAAAAAAAAAGGGAAAGGTGGAACAATTAAAAGAAGCATTTTGTGTGTGTTCTCGCGACGAAGAAATTTTTCTTCTGCCGACAAAAGTTTACAAAATAAATCCTTTGTGTAAATAATTGTATACAATCTAAATATATGTATATATATATATATTTATAGACATGTATATATATACATGTATACGTATGTATATGCATAGGAACATATTTGTGTCTAAATTGTGTAAAAGAATATATAACCAATCAACTCTGTATAACATAAAAAAAAAGGAAAAAAAAAATTTCTTTTTGTATGCGTGCTTTTGAAACAAAAAAAAAAATAAAAAAATATTTATATACATATTGTGAGTTGGTTACTACCATTTAGCCATCACGAGAAAAACTTTGTCACCTAATTCAATTATTTGTACAGAAATTCTACGATTGTAAAACTTTGCTGTAAAGTAAAACATATACATAAGAATAATACACACAAAAAAAAAATAAAGAAAAAAAAACGTTTTAGCAGAACAATGTTTTATAATAAAAAAAAATAGAAAAGCATTTATATATAAAAGAAAAAGGATAGAAAGAAAAAAAAAAATAATAAAAAGGAAACAAAAAAAAAGGGGGCATCCAGGTGTTTACTTCAGTCAAGATGCGTTGAGAGGAAGAAGAGTAATGTTCCAGTTTCAGTAGCTTATGAATTGCGTGCACCCCCATGCACCTACATCCCAGCTGTGTTGTGATTGCGCTGACTACTTAAAACGAACTTCCTACTTCCTTGCTGGGAACAGGAACCGCCGGTGTAGCAACTACCGCAACCGACCTCGCCTCGACACCGACCGCGTCAAGTATTGTAAGTTATTTTAGTTTGTTTAATTCCTTTTTCCTTTTTGTGATGAGTGGCTAAGCGTTACCGCTGCCGCCGCTGTAGCTGGAGGACGAAGGGGTGTGCATATGATGGCACTGTAGGGAGCACTCCAGACGGTTACAGACTGACTTACGGTGGACAGACGGACGGTGGACAACCGACGGGACCTATTCATCTTTTTCTTTGTCAGGGAAATATAAATGCTCTGCCGATATAGCTAAGACCGTGACAGGTTCTATATCTCGAAAGCAATGAATTGATACTAAGCGATGGTTTCGAGAATTTCAGGATCTTATATTTAGAAATATATAAACTACATCCTTGCAATTATGTTACAGCACCATCTCTTTCTTGGGATGCCATGCTGAAATATACTAAAGTTGAAATGGAACTAATTGTGGATCCTGAAATTCATACGTTTTTAAAAAGTAGTATTCGAGATGGTATTACTCAATGCACCCAAAGGTTGTCCGAGTCAAATAATAAGTTTAATGAAAATTATGATGAAAGCAACTCTGAAAATTATTTGGTCTATATGGATGCAAACAATTTGTATGGATGGGCCGTGTCTCAAAAACTTCCATATGCAAACTTCCAATTTTTAAGCGAAAGTGAGGTAAAAGATTTTGATATTTACTAAATTGATATCGAGGGAAGTAGTGGTTACATTTTGGAAGTTGACCTAAATTATCCGTCTGATATTCATGATCAACATGATTACCTGTGCAGACAATAAAATTCCTCCTACTGGCAAGTATAAAAAACTCATAGCAGATTTAACTCATAAAATGAGCTATAAGATTCATTTAAAAAATCTGCTCCTCTGCTTGCAACACGGGTTGCAATTAAAATGAATTCACAGAATACTAAAATTGGTTAGAGCCCAACATTAGTTTAAACACCAATAGAAGAAAAGTTGCCAACAATGAATTTGAGAAGAACTTCTATAAGCTAATGAATAATGCTGCGTATAGGAAAACCATGGAAAATGTTGAAAATCGCCGAGACGTTTGCTTAGTAAACAGTTATGAAAACAAAAGGAATTCTGAAGGGTATAGAGCTCTCATAGCCAAACCTAACTTCAAGGGCATCGAAATATTCGATAATGGGTTATATGGAGTTAAGCTAAGTAAATTGGAAATTATTCACGATAAACCGATATATGTGGGAGTAACTGTGTTAGAATTCTCTAAGTGGTTGATGTATGATTTTTATTATAACTTTTTACTTAACCAGAGCGAAACAATAAAGATTATATATATGGATACAGATTCATTTATATTAGCGTCTGATGGTAATATATATGACATTATTAAAAATAATCACACATCAGATTACCTGCCCGGCAATATACATAATATAATTCCTAATAACAAAAAAGTATTAGGTCTGATGAAAGACGAGAATGCCGGGAGAATAATGACAAACCTTGCAGGTTTAAAAGCCAAAGCGTATGCATACATAGTCAATGGTGGGAACAATAAAGAAAAAGAAGTGAAAAAAGTTAAGGGGATAAAAAAATGTGTAACCGACAAAATAAAATATACTGATTATAAACACTGTATTATAAATAGACAATCTTTTTATGGTGAACAGAGAATTATCAGAAGCAAATCACACAGATTGTACACAGAGATCTGCAAAAAAATAGCGTTAGATTATTTAGATGATAAGCGGTGTGTTTTAGATGATAAAATTTCCACACTAGCGTGGGGAAATTATAAAATAGGTAGTCAAATAATAAATAACGATGTATAAACACTAGGCATATATGAATATATGTAAAATAATTATAGAGTAAATAATACAAATATGTAAATGAAATGTAATTACTATGTATTCAAGAATAAATGTAAAAATTAATACGCAATGCAATTTTATACATATTTATCGAAGTAATTGAGTTTTATTAATCCATGAATTATGAGTTTGATCAAACCGTAGCCACTTCACAAAAAATTTGTTTTCCTGTTTCTTCAATATTTTTTCCACTAAATAGGCATTTTCGTCACGAACTTTTTGCATTTCGTATTTATAAAATGATCCTAATATTTCATTTTCCTTATAGTCTTTTAGAATGTAAGTAACAGGATTCGTAATTTTTATTCTACTGATCTGAAATATTTCGGTGGTCCAGTTTGGTTCATAGCCTTTAAAAAATACTCCTTTAAATTTGCTAATTCTAACATAATCCCCAACTTTAAACTTTGGTCTTCGAAATATTTTAGGGAAATTATATACAGTTTGTAATATCTGCTTCTCGTTGTGTTTATTGACTTCATTTGGTTTCATTTTTATTATTCTGTGATATGTATTATTGTATTTGGCTAGTAATGTTTGCAGGTTGTTTATCCATTTGTAATACTAAACATTTTCCACATTAAGTTTTTTAATGTTCTATTAAATCTTTCACATATGGAGGCTTTCATATGAGTATATGTATGATAATGATTAATTTGATAATATTTCATCAAACTTTTAAAATCTTTATTGAAAAATTCCTTTCCCTGATCAGTTTGAATATTTCTTGGAGATGTATTTCTTCTTTCCAATACCTGTTTCATAGCTTTAACTATGTCTGAAGAACTTTTAGATTTTACTGGTTCCGCGAAAACATATTTAAAAAATACATCAATTCCAACCAAAAGGTATTCATAGCCATTGTTTAGTTTATGAAATGTAATTAACTCAACTAAATCTATTAATTCCTTTTTTAATGAATCGCCTTCGAATAAAATTTTTTCTGACTGGTTTGTGAATCTCATTAACAACTTGAATTTTACTCATTTTTATACATTTATTTATTTATCATTCTCAAATGTAGCGTATGAATCTTAATATCCTGCCTAATCTTTATTGATATTTTCCGAGAAAATTCAAAACATAATCTTAACAAATCAATCTCAATATTAGGGTCGATGGATATGGACATATCAGCCAATTGAACATCAGTCTTATTTAATTCCACGCACTTTGGTAAAAAATGATTGTAATAAAAGAACGAGATTTGCTTTTATAATATAGTATTCCAGCATAGGAATGTTGATAAAAAAATTCCAATGCGAGTTATTAATCTCCACGTTTCAGCATCAAGTTTTATTCTATGCCCTTTTTGTTTAATAATCAAAAGACATTGTCCATCTCGATTATATTTAAAATTACACCCAATGTTGTCTAGAGTTGGATGATCTAGAATGCTCTCAGGTTCTATAAAGTCTATTTGATCCAATCTTAGTTGTATGTATTCCTTGTAGGCCATTAAATGAATCCATTGATCACGAGTGAAACCAATAAAATTACATTTATTATCTTGCAGCCATAAAAGCGGTTTAAAGTTTCTTGAGGGTGAAAAACCACATTTGATTTTAGTTTTTAAACCGACGAAATATTCCAAACCAAATATTAATTGATGGTCTTGATTTGTTTTTGGTAAACGCGGAGTTTTCTAAACACTTGGCGATATCCGATCCATTTATTGAAACGACACAAGTAGTACTGAACGTGATATGAAATCTTTTAGAATATAAACTCAAAAATTATATAAAATCAGCTCAGTATTTATCAGTAACTCATCAAACCATGGCCAGCGTAACTAAAAGTACATTCGCTCTTGTTGATTTCCAGTATTGTCATGGAAATCAGACACAAATTTTATTAAAGAGCTAGCATATATGAGTGCAAGTTCTGTTGCAGCTAACTACTTTTTATTTAGAACACCGTTCGGTGAAAAAGAATTAAATGAGCAAACTAAGGATCAAAATCATTTTTGTGCCAAATTTATTCATGGCTTTAGACTATTCCTTGTTAGGTGACATACTATCTCCATTGAATAATTATGAGTACGTTTTAGTCGTGGGAAGAGAAAAACAAGAATTTTTTAAAAAATATTTGAAATCTAAAGTGATATTCGTGGACACTCAAACATCTTTGAGAAAACTACCTAATTATTTTACTAACTGCCCACATCATCGAAATGATCTTAAATTTAGATGTGCCCTTAACAATTTATATAAACTTTTTATCTACCTTGAAAAAAAATCAAACGCCACTGAAGTTATTACTTAAGATTAAATAAATTAATATTTATAATGACGAATTCTATGAAGTCCTAGTTTATTCTCTAGTTTATAATTAACAAAACAACATGTTTTATCAAATTTACCATCCATTTACTATGCTTATTAGTGGACCATCAGGGTCCGACAAAACAGCATTTTTGAAAAATCTTATTCACAATAAGGATTTCTTGATTAATGTGAAAATTGATCGAATAATTTGGTGTTATGGTGAAGAAAATGCAAAACCTGATATAAATAACGTTGCACATATTGAATATAACAATGGAATACCAGAAAATTTGGAAAATGTTCTCAACGAACCAACTATCATCGTACTCGATGACTTAATGATGGGAGCTTTCAACAAAACGGTTTGTGAACTTTTCACAAAGGGGTCACACCATAGGAATTTTTCTGTCATTGTAGTAACACAAAACATATATCACAAATCGTCGCACACAAGAGATATTTCATTGAATTCAAAATATATAGTTGTGTTCCAAAATCCTACAGATATCTTACAGTTTCAACATTTAGCAAATTCATCCAGAAAATTCATCTGAACTTATGAAAATATATAAAGATGTGACTAGCAAATCTCACGGTTATTTATTAATCGACCTTACACAAAGCGTAAATGATTTATTAAGGTACTAAACGAACATATTTAATCCGAATTTTTGCTATTGCTTCTGTGATACCGGAGAAAATGGTCTTAAAAAAGAGTTTAAAGCGACTGAAAAACCACAAACATATGCTGTATGTCCTCAAAACCAATAATAGAAAATTAAGAAGAGCTATACTCAACTGCGCTGATGATGAATTAACTAAAACTTTGACTAAGATTGTCTCTAACACAATAGCTGAAAACACTAAACTAAAAAATAAAGATTTGCAGGTTTTAAAAAAGTATAAAAAAGAACTTAG